ACAAATTTTAAAATTTAAAAAAAAAAAAAAAAAAAACCAGCCTCTCTCATTTCATCCTTGGCCCCCTCACTGGGGGCAGACACCGTTAATGGTTTTTTATGTACCTTTCCAGAAACAAACCATTCTATCATATTTTAATGTTGCTTATTTTGCCTTTTTAAAATATAAAAGCTATCATGCTCACTGTAGACTATCTGGGTAATAGAGAAATATTTTATAATATACCTAAGAAAATGAAAACCACTCACAATCCCACCTTCTAAAGGTAATCGCTGATAACATATTGGTATACTTCCTTCTATTCTTTTTTTCTATGCCTATATTCAAAGGAAAATTAGAGTTACAGTTTATATAGTTTCATATCCTGCCCTTTGACTTAACATTATTTCTCAAGCATCACCCCATACTATTTTTACGCAGATGAAATTTGGTTATAATCAATATCAAGGGCAACTCTGAACAAAAGGACTTCATAGAGATGTTTGGGAAAAAGCAGCACTTGACAGGGAAAACATGTCACTGGGAGCCCCCAAAGTCACTCAACCACCTGTTTCCCATGGGCTGCTGACTAGAATTGATTACAAAGGAGGAGACTGAAACTAAATAAGTGTCTAGGCCAGGGGCTTTAAATATGTCACCTCATTTAATCTGCACAAGCCTGCAAAGTAAACATAAGGATCCCAATTCTACAGAAAATAAAACTGAGGGGAGGTTAAGTTTGTCAGGTGGGCACGGGGTTGCAGCTGAAGCATCATAGACCTAGACCCAGAGTTTCGGCATCACCTGGGTTCCAGCGCAGAGGCTGGGTTTTGAATCCCGGGCTTCTCTAGTTTCAGAACTTGGGCTGGTTATTTTTTTACTGCACAATCCCATTTCTAGGAGTTGATCCTTCAAATCAAGTGCACGCATGGGAAATGACGCATGCACAAGCTTATTCACTGTGGCATCGCTTGTCAGAGCGAAAACTTGGAAACCGACATTTCCATGAATGAGACGCCGGTTAAATATGGTATGTTCACACAATGGTAAAAAGAATGGAGAGGTTCTTCAAGGCACTGATGTAGAAAAATCTCCAAAATATACTGTTAGGAGAAAAAAGCAAGGTGCAGAACTGTGTGCATAACATGCTGCCATTCGTTTTGTTTTGTTTTTTAAGATAAAAAGAGAATATGTCGGGGTGAGGTATTGGCTGAGGTTTGTACTTGCATAAAATGTCCCTGGAAGCAGAGCTTCTCAAACTTAAATGCAAACTTAAATGCATATTTAAATCCCCTTGGAGGGACTTCCCTGGCGGCACAGTGGTTAAGAATCCGCCTGCCAATGCAGGGGACACAGGTTCGAGCCCTGGTCCAGGAAGATCCCCCATGCCGAGGAGCAACTAAGCCCGTGCGCCACAACTACCGATCCTGTGTGCTAGAGCCCACGAGCCACAACTACTGAGCCTGCATGCCTAGTGCCCATGCTCTACAGCAAGAGAAGCTACCGCAATGAGAAGCCCCCACTTGCCGCAATTAGAGAAAGCCCACGTGCATTAACGAAGACCCAATGTGGCCAAAAATAAATAAACTTATTTTAAAAATAATAAAAATTAAAAATAAATCCCCTTGGAACATGTTAAAATTCAGATCCTGATGCCAGCCCAAGAGTCTGCATTTCTAACTCCCAGGGCATGGTGATGCTTCTGATACAGACTGCACTTTGAGTGGCAAGACTTGGAGACACACACACACACACACACACACACACACACACACACACACGCAACACGGTTATATTAATGACCCCCAGAAAGACGACCTGAGTGACTGGTGGCTAGGGTAGGAGGGAAACTTTACTATATTCCTTTTTGTGAATTGTGAACCAAGTGAATGTATTATCTAGTACAATACACATTTATACAAAAATATAAGCACCTGTGCACACCCCCTTCTTCCCAGCCCCAGCCCCAGCCCCATAGCACGGCTCCCCCGAGAGCTGCCCAGCCACTTTGCCACCCTGTCATCACTCAGGAGTGGTGTTACCCTGGGCAAGTCACTTAACCTATGTTTCAGTTTCCTCCTCTCTACCACCTGGAAAGTAAGGTACCGACTTCCCAGAGCTGTGAGGATGAAGCAATGGGACTGGCACAGTGGCACAGGGCCTTACACACCCAGCACCGTAGGCCCAGCTCGCCCCAGTGGCAGTGACGATAAACGCTGTTTCTGCCACAGCGTGCACTGGGCTGGGGTTTGGATGGCCCAGGTCCCTTTCATTCGGGCCCTCCTCCTCCTCCTCCCCGTCTTCACTCACCACTACTTCTTCTTCAAAGACCTTTTCGCCCTCATTCACCCTCTGCAGCTCGGTGTGTTCATACGCATGTGAGGGGTCCCCCATGAAGCGGCCCTTCACCACAGACGTCTGCATCTCCATCTCCTCCGTGGCAGGGGGCAGGAGGCTCCACTCCATGCAGTTCAGGCTGCCAACAACATCCCCATCACCCCGACTCTAACTCCCCTCTCACTCCAGCTTCCTGCTCCTGCCCCTTCTCAAGACAGGTGAGGCCCAAGAAGGGCTGTTGGGAGTCACGTTTCCCCTGTGAAGCGCTAAGTGCCTATGGTGCACGCCACCCCCCACGTGATGAAATTCAGCACATGCCAAGATTCCAAGGGCTTCTCCCTAGATAGATATCTGGACTGTGAGGTCCCGGACGAGTTTCTGGAAGCTGAACTTTCCTCAGTTGCAGGTGCCTCTGCTCCTGTGGGCCCCAAATTCATGCTCAGCCTGCCTGCTGAGCTGACAGCATGGCCATCTGCCCCCACTCCTCAGGAAAGCCCAGCCCAGGCTCAAGAAGCTCCCCTCTGCTGCGGTCTTCCCTTCTTTCTCACATCCTGCCAGGAGGGGATATCCTCCCACTCCTCCCTCATCCATGTAGGGCCTGCGTCCCCAGCCTGCTCTCTGCTCACGTTTCCTCCTTTCACTCTCCACTGGCTCCTTCACAACATGAAAACGCCCCAGCTTTATAAAACAACAGCCCTCAAATCCATGCCCCTCTAGAAAATGCCCCTTTCCTGTCCCGCCCACTTCTTCCCCAATTCTGAATCATAAGCGGGAACAATTTGCTCTGTGGCAGCCCTTGCTCTCCCTCACTTTCACTCTTTGACCACTGCACCATGATTCTGCCCCTGGCACCCCAAGAAACTGCTCCAAAGAAGGTCATCCATGGGACCTAAAAGCCAACAAACGCCATCTCCATTTCTATGTCCTTTGACATCTCCCTTCTCCCTCCTCCAGTGCCTTAAGTACTTCCAAGGATCTATTCTCACTGCTCTTTTCTCTCCACAGTCTCACCTACCTGACCCCTAGAACCCCAGCTACTCCCTAGTTGACATCCAGAATCCAGCCACCTCTCACCACCTCCACTGCTTCCACCCTTGTCCAAGCCACCATCTACTCTTGCCCAGATATTGCAGTAGCTGCCTAACCAGTCTCCCCATGTCCATACCTGCTCCCCTTTCAGTCTAGTCCCCACCCAGCTGTTAAAACCTAAGCCAGATCATGTCTCTGTGCAGAACCTCCCAGTGACTTCCCACTGAGCCAAGTCCTTACAGTGCCCCACAGGGCCCTGCACAATTGTCTCGGCCCCTCTCTGACCTCATGTCCCGCAATGGTCCCCCTCACTCACTCCTCTCTAGCCACACTAGCCTCTTCAGGGTTCCACACTACACTAAGCACCTGCCTCAGGGCCTTTGCACTTGCCTGGAATACTTTTCCCTGAGATAAACACACAGCTTACTCTCTCAGTTGCTTCAGGTCTCTTCTCAAATGTTACTATTTATAATAGTACCCCATCCTGTATTCTCTGTCTCCTTTAGCACCAATGCTAAGTGTATGCAGTATATGTGTATGTTTATTTATTGTCTGTCTCCCCTCCCCCACATACACACTAAAATGTAAACTCCATGAAGACAAGGACTTTGTCTCTTTTCACAGTGAATTCCCCATGCCTAGATCAATGCCTGGCACATACTAGGTGCCAAAGAAATAAAAACTGATTGGAATAGAGTGAGTCTCAAATCTCTATCTTCAGTCCAAATTTTTCTTCTGTACTCCAGATCTGTACTTTAATATGCCTCCTTACCACACTGCCCCATAGGCACATCACACCAAATTCACTAGGCCTTCCCTAGTACCTCCTGAATTCTCTCCCAGTGGGGGTCACCAGCACTTACCCAGCTGCCTAAGCTGGAAGGAAGGGTCAACCTTGACCTCCTCTTCACCTTTCCCCATTTAGTCACAAGTCCTGCCACTTCTACCACTTAACTCTTTCCAATCCCTCCCCTCTATTCCCTCAGCTACCTCTTCCTTTCAGTCCTCCTTCATCTGGACACTGCAACAGACTTCCAAATGCTCACCCACTTCCAGACCATTCTACCCACTCAGGTCTGAGCAGGCTCTTCTTGATTAAAGGCCCTCAGTGGCTCCCCATAGCCTGTGGACAAAGTTCAAACCGCTTGGCCTCTCCATCCAGTTCAACATAACACCCTAGGCTGCCACTGCCATGTTTGTCTTCCCACTATTCTCCCAAAACACCCAAAGCCAGCTCAAGCCAATAAGCTTGCAGTTGTTCCAACTGGCATGCCTGTTCCCCACACTTTCCTGGAGAACTCCAGATCATCTCTCAGATCTCAGTAATCTTACCTAATTACTCTCTAGGAGAATGTCCCACCCTGGCACCCCTTTGTGTACACCTCTGTCCCAGGTTTAAGACACTCTGCTATAATTGCTGGGTTACCCATTGGTCTCCCTTCCTAGGATGTGAATAACTTGGAGATAGGGGTGAGTCTTAGCCATCTTTTTAACCCCAAGTCTAGCACAGGATATATCCTATCAATGTTGGATTGATGCATGGATAGATAAATGAAGTCTCCAACTTCCTGCGGCCTCAACGGAATGCCTGTAAGATGATGAGCTCCCCATCGTCGGCGGTAGTCAAAAAGAGGCTGGATGGTCCTTTATGGCACTGTCCAGGGAAATTTCTTCAGTTCTAAATCCCTTCTCTCCCATTCCACATTCGTTCACTACTTCCTAGAGCGCCTCCTGTGAGCCAACACCTCCACCAAAGATGCTTCAGGACCCACTTCCAAACAGCTCCCCACCCCCCTCAAGGCTTCTGACCCTTCTCCAAACTGAACTCTTTGAAAAAGCAGGTCCACCACCTGACGTCTACTCCGGGTCTTCATTCTCCAGAAACTTTCACCTTGCCCTGCCTCCGTTCTTGCTACACTTCCATTATAAACCCACCAGTCTCTAAGTTTCTCTGGCGCCCCTCCCCACGTATCCTCCCAGGGAGGACCTCGCCCACTCGCTTCCTGGACCTCTCCCCTTTCGATCCTACCTCGCACCCACCCCTTCCTGGCCCTCGCTAGCCCCCGGCTCCTCAGTATCCCCCTGTGGCCTCAGCCAGCCCGGGCGCCGCCTCCACCTGTACAGGGTCTTGCGCGGTGCGAGCTGGTCCTCGCTCAGGCCCTGCGCGATGTAGTAATCGGCGACAAGACCGAGGATGCGGCCCCAGAAAAGGACCCGATCGAAACGGTAGTCGCGTTTAACCAGCATAAGGGAAGTGAGCAGTGAGGCCCGACGGTCCGGGCTGAGGCCCTGCCCACTACCGGACGCCAGCTCCAGAGACAATAGGAGGCTCTCTTCGTCCATTCCTCCAGCGGCTCTGCTCAACGCCTGCCCGGTTGCTAGGAGAAGCCGGTGTCCACCGAGACCCAAAGCTCCGCCCTTCCATCCAACCGGAAGCGGGATTTCACGCACGCGACCTCCTGCAGCTCAACCTTCTAGGGCCTCCTGCCAGCCCTTCTTCCCATGGAGCCCTTCCGAAAAGCCTGGGGGTATACTAGCTCCCTCCCGCTTCCTTTCCCGAATAGGTGTCGGGAGGTGTTCACTTGTCAGGGCAACGGCGTGGTTTTCCCCCCAAATAGGTAGGATACAGTTGATAGGTTGGAGGTCCAAATAAGCCAAATTCTGGGGATATTTTTGCTTTCCCTAAACCCTTACACACGGTCGACATTTACTGAGTCCTCACTGTATATGCAGTGGGGGTTTGGGAAGAAAAGTGCAACAGCGATACTAGCTATATTATTTCACTCCAGTCGTGTCCTTTCTTGGCCTCAGAATTATCTATGCAGAAAAGAATTTGAGATCCTCTTGGCTCTAGGATACCAAGGCAATTAATCCCCCGCAAAGCCAGGTCTTACAAAGACCTAGGCAAGGTGATGGGGGGGCGGGGCGGTGAAGTTCCCCAGTGGCCCAGTGGCTGGTTAGGACTCCCCGCTTTCACTGCCTGAGGACCTGAGCCAATCCCTCGTGGGGGAATTAAGATCCCACTAGCCCTGCGGCACGGGTAGCTGTGGCCTAGGCAATGGGGCAAGGTATAGGGCCATACCTTGGGAAAGGAGGGTGCGAAGAGGGGTACAAAATGGGTGATTTTACAGACTACACTTTCCCATCAACATTTTCATTTACATTAACAACTACATGTTCCCTACCACCTACATTTACCTGCCTCAAGCCCCACAACTGTTGCTTTTGGGCGAAAGTGGTGGCAACAGATGAAAGGCCAGAGCCCCACTGAAGCTGGGGCTCTTCACTCCCTGGGCCAGATACTATTTCTTCACATCCATCTCTGGAGTGCCCAGCCAAGGTTAAGAGATAAACAGGGACTTGCATAGTGGTGCAGTGGTTAAGGATCCGCCTGTCAATGCAGGGGACATGGGTTCGATCCCTGGTCCAGGAGGATCCCACATGCCAAGGAGCAACTAAGCCCGTGTGCCACAACTACTGAGGCTGTGCTCTAGAGCCCACGAACCACAATTACTGAAGCCCGTGTGCCACAACTACTGAAGCCCGCGCACCTAGAGCCCGTGCTCCGCAACAGAGAAGGCCCCGCGATGAGAAGCCCGCACACCACGAGTAGCCCCGCTCACCACAACTAGAGAAAGCCCGTGCTCAGCAACGAAGACCCAATGCAGCCAAAAATACATAAATTTTAAAAAAGAGATAAACAGGTGCCTCAGCAGGCTTGTTGTCAGAGGGGATGGGATTTATTGATAAAATTATTAACTGATCTTTTAATTTCTGGATTCCTTTGGAGGACTCATGAAATCAGAATGACCTGGCCCCAATGCCAACCCGACAGAGAAGTGTCTAAATTACCTGAATAATTACTTGGTTTTGATGGCCTAGACACTGTTTATGAAGGCTTTTAAAAGTAGTACTTGAGGGATCTGACTTGGCTTAATGTGTCTTACATCTCAAAACAATTTATAACTTGTTCAAAACTCTCCCTCCCTTTAGGCAGACCCCTTAGCCTGTCCCTTCCCAAGTGGGAGATATGGCCCTGCTCCTCTTCTGTAAGGTAATATCAGACACAAAACCAGCAAAGTCCAGCTGGTGGAATATGCTTCCAGTGGACACAGCACAGAAAAGATCTCAAACCTTTTGTTTGCACTGATTGAATATTTACTCCGCACCAATAAATGGCAGGTTCCATGTCACGAAACACAATCTGAAGCCAGAGACGGAAGTCCTGCTGCTTTCCAATTCTACCACCTTCAGTAGGGCAAACCCTGTTTAATTAGCTCAGAGTAAAATCACACAGGGTGTACAGCACAGTGTAAAGCACTGAGCCTATGGAGCCAGCTGGACTGGGTTTGAATCCAGGTTTCGACACTTATGCAAGTTATTCAATCTCATGAATCCAGGTTTCAACACTTATCTTATGCAAGTTATTCAACCTCCTCAATCTCCCCAAGCGTCATCTATAAAACGGGGACTATTATATGAACTTTTCAAGGTTATTAGATTAGATAATGTATGTAAAGTGCTTAAAACCTACTATAAAATATAAACTATTTTTGTTTTCTTAAAATATAAAACATAATTCTTCTTAAAACGTAAAAAATAGTATATGTTGTCCCCATTTACACATACATACACACACACACACACACACACTCTCTCAAACAAACACCCCTATCTCCAACACCAGCAGGATGAGGATTCTGTCTTCAACTTGCTTCCAAGAAATAAGCAGGTGTTCTCAGGGACAAAGGGCCTCAGTGCTTAGTGGACAGGACAGCATCAAGCTGGAGAGGATAACAATAAGGCTCAGGATGGCCAAGCCAGAAATGTAGCCGAGGAACGACAGCCACAGGCAGGAGAGCAGGGTTTGCCTGAGGACAATACTGCCAACAGTAACTGCCAGCAGCCACCATGCAACTGCAATGGAGAGAGGCAGGGCAGAATTCCAGAAGGGACATCTGGCCTCAGGGAAGTGAGCCTGCAGGGCAGTCTTGGTGCCTTAGCCTACGGTTCAATCAGGCTTTGCAAAGACTCTCTCGGTTTTCTTTTCTCAGCTCCCTTCCCCCATGTGACCTCTGCTTTGGGTACACATACTCATGTGGCAAGCAAAGAACATCGGGCTAGGAGTTAGCTGATGACAACTCTTGCCCCAGCTCTGATATCGAACTGTTACAGAACCTTGGCCAAGTCACTTAACTTCCCAGATTGGCTTGGGGCTGATGAAGAGAAAGAATCATTAGTAAAAAAAAAAAAAAAAATCATGGAAGCCCAAAGCATAAGAGGCCAAGGGGGAAGATTAAATACTCTAACCTCAAGCCTGGAAAGTCTCTTTAAGCTAAAAGAGTTTCAGGAAAATGTAACATTAATCCATACATTTTATATTTAAGTTCATGAGTCATATCCACATTATGTCCCTGGTAAAAATTCTGAAAGGCCACAGCAAAAAGCAGAAAAGGGTCACCTCCATAGGGGTGTCCGTCTATGGGCCCATGTTTGCTTTCCAACCCCCAAAAGAAACACCTGACCCAGAACCCTCTGGGAAAATCAGCCTTTGATTCAAAGAGATGCTTGTTCAGTGATGATTATTACAGCCCTAGCCCTACCATCAGCCCCCTGGGAAGTCTAAGGGAGGCAGGCAGCCAGAAGGAGAGAACCTTCCTCTCGCCAGGAATTAACTAGCTCCAAGCAAGAGATGGGTGACTTGGTGCCACAGGGGGAAAGATAATTTAGCCATTGTGTTCACGATGAGCATTCCCATTCACTCGTGGAAGCCCTTCAGTGTCACTGGTGCCTGGAACCAAATGTAATCCTCCCAGGCTGTAGCTGGGATGGCGGGTCGGCCACAGGACAGGGTCACAGTCAATTTGTGGCCCCGGCTGGGCACTCTATAGTTGAGCTTGGGTCGAAACCAGTCTTCCTCACAGTCGCGGTGACCCTGTGCCATGACAATGGTGCCCATGAGTGGAGGAACCTGCAGCTCACTGAAGGCATCAGCCATGAAAATGGCTCGGAAGAGGCGGCGCAAACAAGCTGCTGTGCTCAGGCTCGGGTCCATGCTGTTGGGGACCAAGCGGGACAAGTCAAGCTCATAGAACTCCTTGGGACTGAGGGCATTGCCCCCAAGGAGGATCAGCACTCGTGGTACTAGTGTCCTGGCAAAGAGACCCTCCAGGTGGCTGAGGACACTCTCCAGTTCTGCCAGGGTTTGTTGGCATTTCCTGCTGCTCACCTCGGCAGTGGCCCGAGGTTTCTTCTTCACCACTTCCTCTGCCTGTGAGGACAAAGAATGATGACAGAGAAGTTCTGCAAGGTAGGGGAAAGCTAGTGACCTTTGAAGAACTCTCTGGGATGGAGCAGACTTATGGGACTGGATTTCCAGTTCAGTGAACTGCCACAGGCAAGACACTGGGTTTTATCAGAGGGTAATGTATCAAAAAGGAAACTATGTTCTTTGTACAAAATCATAATTCTTCCACACTTAGAACAGCAAAGACAGTGTTCTGAAGCAGGAGGCATCCGGAAATTAGCAACTAAAATACTCAAGGAGATGTGGTGGCACGGCAGGTGGCAAATTTTTGCTGTGCTGAGAGCGATAACAAGACTGAGGATTATTTGGTCTAATAAATTCTGGAGTTCACCCTCCAGTTAAACATGGCAAATGGAAGGAAGGGAGGGATGGAGGGAGGGAGGGAGGAAGGAAGGAAGGCAGGAAGGAAAGAGGGAACAGAGGGAGACAGGAAGGGAGGGAAGGAGGAGAGAGAAAGAGGACTCCCAAGGGCAAAAAGAACTGGAAGGAACTTCCCTGGGCACAGTGGTTAAGAATCCTCCTGCCAACGCAGGGGACACGGGTTCAAGCCCTGGCCCGGGAAGATCCCACATGCCGCGGAGCAACTAAGCCTGTGCACCACAACTACTGGGCCTGCACTCTAGAGCCCAAAGCCACAACTACTGAGACCGCGTGCCACAACTACTGAAGCCTTCACGCCTAGAGCCCGTGCTCCGCAAAAAGAGAAGCCACCGCAATGAGAAGCCCGCGCACCACAACAAAGAGCAGCCCCCACTCGCCGCAATTAGAGAAAGCTGGCGCACAGCAACAAAGACTCAACATAGCCAAAAATAAATAAATAAATAAATTGCAAAAAAAAAAAAGAACTGGAAAATAGACAACAGTGTCCAAAGGCAACAACAAATTTCTGGAAGAGAGAAAGCAGATGGAAGAGTTCGAAAGAGCTGAATACCAAGTACTGACAGAGGGGACTCCCCTGAGAAGTTTGAAATGATTCACAATGCAGAAGCCCAAAAAGGCCCAGGAATTGTCCACTTAAGCACCACAGAAGACAAAAGTGAACACATGGGGACTGAGGGAACACCTGTGCAAGGACCTTTAGATCACCTGCCAATTTCCTCCACCCAGACAGAATGTTTTGGAAGTCCTCTTTCTTTCTTTCCTTCCTTCCTATTTCTCTCATTTAGTAGTATTTCAGATGGGAGCACAGATAAGCATGTGTTCAATTTGCCATGTTTAACTGGAAGACAACTCCAGAATCACCTTTATTAGACCAATCTTCTTTCCTGTTATCACTACCATTACTTTCTCACCCAATATCCTTCAAGGCTATCAGCTAGCTCAGAGGCCCAGCCATGCACACAGAACTTTCAATGACTTATTCTTAAATATTTATCAGACACCAAATAAAGGCCTCTAACATGAAAGAGACCAAAACAAATAAATAGAAAAAGGAATCTGGAAGAAATGGAGACACTGCAAGCAACAGAGAAAAGCTTCAAAAATACAACAATTAACGTCCACAGGTAAGAGAAGTTCATACAGATAGGAAAAAACAGGATGCAATTTAAAAGGAACATGTAAAAATTAAGAAAAAGCTCTTAAGACTATGACTGCCAAAAAAGAAAAAAAATTGATATAAGTGTTAGAATATAAACTCAAGGAAGTTTATATAAATTTATATAAACATAATATAAACCCACAGAAAATATAACATAAAAACTAAGAGATGAGGATATGGACAGAAAAGACACTAAGATTAAAGGATCAGGGCTTCCCTGGTGGCGCAGTGGTTGAGAGTCCGCCTGCCGATGCAAGGGACACAGGTTCGTGCCCCGGTCCGGGAAGATCCCACATGCCGCGGAGCGGCTGGGCCCGTGAGCCACGGCCGCTGAGCCTGTGCTTCCGGAGCCTGTGCTCTGCAACGGGAGAGGCCACAACAGTGAGAGCCCCGCGTACCGCAAAAAAAAAAAAAAGGACTAGAGTGGGTAGAAAGGGACAGAAGCCATAGGGCTGAAACATCCCGTACAGCTGCTTAAGCTGACAGGCCTGAAGATTCCTTAGACGCCCTTTTTACCTGCCCACCATCTAAAAGCCACAAAGTCTCCCCACCAATTTCCTCCCAAAGCCTGTGCCCACCTGGGGAGGTTTTCGGTAGAAGTGCTTAAGCTGTTCGTAGGGCAGAGGGAGTTGCTGGCGTTGGTACATGATATGCTTCAGAAGTTCACAAGTAAACCGACAGCACCCTTCCTGGCTGACAGGCCCGGGAAACACCACTGGCACCACGCAGACTCTGGGGCGAAGGGGCTCCGAAGGGGTGGGAGGTTCCTGGGGGGAGGTGGTCTCAAGTTCTATCTGGGGGTCGTGGGTTTCCTCCGACTTCTCACACCACTCCAAATCTGGTAGGTGCACAGGGGGACAAGAGAGAAAAATGAAAAACTTAAAAGGCCAAAGCCAGTCTTCTCATTCCCTTGTGGCGACATCGGCCACCACTGCGGAGGGGACACCCCGACACAGGCAGATTCCCTCCGCAAACTCCCCTGTGGGCGGTGGCGCGGAGGTTCCGGATCCCAGTTGCCTAAGGTGAAGTGACGGCGGGATTTGTGGGGAACGGGTGGAGGATTTTGGAGGCAGCGACTGGGGCTCTGCTTAGAAAGTGGAGGCCCTGATCTGGGAAAACGAGTTGAGAGAAAGTGTAGTCAAGCAGGGCCCAGAACCTGTCGCGAAAAGGGGGGTGAACCAATGGAATCCAGGGCCTTGGGGGCAATGGAGTCAACAGGGCTGAGTCAGAACTGGGAGGGACGCCGGGAAATGGGGACAAGGAAGACGGGCCAGAGAAGGGGCCAGGGGCTAAGTGACTGGAGGGAGCAGCGGAAGGGAGGAAACAGACTCCTCGAGCTCCGGACCCCACGCCTTACCAGAGACTGCGGCCGGGGACTGCACTTCCGGCTCTGGGGCCGCCATCACGACCTCCTCCCCACTCTCCGTGCGGTTTGAATAGGCGCCCCGCGCAGCCTCATGGGAAACCCGCGCCTCCACTTCCGGTTCCGTTGCCGGAAAGTGGGCGGGGCGCCGCGTCAGTGTGGCGGAGGCTGGGCTGGGTGGGGAATTGAGCTCTTCGCTCTCCTCCGTAACACCGTCCGGCAAGTCCGCTGAGCCCTTCTCCCACAGGGAAACCACGGGTTCCAGCCACTTAGCGCTGCCTTCCAAAGGATACCCGCCCGCATGCATCCGTTCTCTCCTGCGTTCCCTATTCGCTGCGCACCTACTTCGTGCCAGGCCCTGTCCTAGGTGCTGGAGACTCTGCAGCGAAGAAGCCAGAGGCAGGCGCTGTCTGCAAAGGGTTCAATGCCTAATAGATTAAATGCAATGTGATGAATTACATAGTAAGGCATACATGGGCAGCGGACGCGAAGAACAGGAGCGCCTAACCTAGAGGGGGTGGGAGTGAGGGGTGGTCCCGGAGGAAACTGTGACCTGTAGGATGAGTAAAGGTAAAGAGGAGGGCCTGGAGGTCCTGAAGACTGTTAGAAACAACCCCCAAACGGATTCACTTGTGCTAAATCTCACCAAGACTCATTTCCTAACCTAGTAGCAGTTTCAGCTTCTCCTGGAGTGGAATTTTAAACTAACCAGTCTGGAATTTCCTAGTCAGCGCTAGTGATGTAATCTGCAAGATAAGTCCCCCAACATTCCCCCTAATCCTTTCTTTCCTTTTGCTTACAACCTCCTTATCCTGCCCCCCCTTTCTATAAAAGTCTTGCATTTTGAACAGCCCCTCAGAGTGCCTTCGTATTTACTAGATGGGATGCTGCCTGATTCATGAACTGTTAAATAAAGCCAATTAGATCTTCAAATCTTCAGTTGAACTTTGTTTTTTAACAAGACCTTGAGATACAAGAGCATCCTCTATTCAAGGAATTAAAAAGAGTTCAGCTTATGAAGAGTTAAGGCTGTGATGGACAAACAGGAGCCAGATCATGGCAAGGCTTTATAAGCCACGTTAAAGCGTTTGAACTTGATCCCGTAGGGGGGCGGGGGAACCTTTGAAAGATTTAAGTAGGGGAATGACATAATTACATTTACATTTTATAAATTTAATCGCTACACTGGGTCTAGATTACAGACAGGATAAAGGAGGAGGCAGGGATACCAGTTAGAGCTAGCAACTGGAATTACCCAACTATTGGTTTGGCAAAAAAGTTCGTTCAGGTTTTTTCCATAACATCTTCCAGAAAAGATGGTGAAAGAGGCCTGAACTAGGGTAGTCACAGTGGGGTGGAGAGAACTGGGTGAACCCTAGAGATATTTAGGAGGTCCAATGAGCATGGTGGTTGAGCCCAGGAAGAGGAGGAGGGGTAGAGAGAGACTGTCAAGAAGACAAGCAGGTTTTTTACTTCAGCAACTCTATGACCAGTTGTGCCATTCAGTGAAGGAGGGAACACCAGAGGAGGACCAGCTTTACTGGGGTATATGTAAGGAGAAAAGATGAGTTCAGCTTTTGATAGGTTTGCTGTTCCATTGGACAGTGAAGAGATATTTAGGAACACCATTAGGAATAGAAATATGTATTTGAGAGTCATCAGCATGGGAGTGGATAAGATCACCCAGGGAAGCTGTATAGAATGAAAATGAGCAAGGATCCTGAAGACACTAATGTTTAGGGGATGAGCAGAAAGAGAGAATCTGTGGAGGAGACTGAGGAGTAGCCAGAGAAGTAGAAAGAAACATAGGCAAGTATTAGGTGATAGAGGCCAAGAAAAAAGTGTGTTTCAGGAAGCAGGGACCAGAGATCAAAACATACCATAAAAGTATAATGATTAAAATACTGTGGTGTTGGCTCAGGAATAAACAGAAGACAGTCCAGAAACAGATCAATGTATATGTAGATCTTAGTATATGATGAGGGTGACTTCTCAAAGCAAATAACTCGAAACAACTCCCTATCCATTCAGGAGGGGAAAAAAATCAAGTTAGTTCCTATTACACATCCTACATAAAGATACATTCCAAATCGATTAAACATCTACTGGAGAATAATCCATAATTTAGGAGTGATGTTGGCTTAGACATGACACAAAACCAAGAAAATATAAAGGGGAATATTGGTAAGTCTAACTTTAAAACGTATGTAAATGTACTATACTCAAAGAATGAATGACTAATAATTACATACCAGGAAAAAAGTCTGTTTGTATACATCCATTATTTACCTCACAGGCAACCACATCATAAACACCTCATAAGCAACCCCTCCAGGAAACTAAACACATATGACACCTTCCATCTCCCAGGACCCTGATCTTCTCCTGGACAGACATCCCTGTTCAGCCTACTCCTCTGCCAGCCTTCACTCCTGTCTGTGGTAAGCCAGGTTGTTTAAGAATGGATATCAGAATGGGTTATCCCTTCCCATCTCTTAAAAGTTCTCCACTTAGGAGACAAGGGAATTGGAAAGAATGAAGTGAAATTGTGTGTGTTGGGGTGGTTGAAAGATCTATGATGATGAGAGGACAAGTGTTATCAGGCAAGTGCAGCAGGCCCTGGTTATCAAGAGACCCCAGAGCTGGTGGTGGTGATAATGTTGGGGGAATAGTCTTAGCTCTCACTTCCAATCCTCAACCTTCTTGAGATCTCTCACTCAGCCCCTAAGTAGCAGCTTCCCTGGTGGGGTTGTGTCCCTGGCTACAGTTGACCTCTGCAGCAAAACCTTCCTTTAGCTGAACAGGGTTGAGAAGTCACGTGTGCTTTCAACCACTGAAGACCGCATAATTGGCCGGGTCTGCTAGGCCCTTTTGCAGATTTTGGTCCTTCTGCTCTCACCACTTTGGGGAGCTATATGTGGACAGCAACTACGTGATCAGTAACTTGCCTTTCTCCTTGTGGACCTGGGGGGAAGCCATGGACTCCACCAAGTCTGAACCCCTGAAAGGATCACCAGAGGTAAGCCACTGTTGCAGCTTCTAGTTTTCCAAGGAAAACTGAGGTCTGGCGGGAAAGGCTGTTTTATTTCTGGGCCGTGTATGAGGATCTCGCTGTTTGTGAAGAGAGCGGAAGTGGACATACAATGGGTGAGTGGTGCATAAGAGACAGCCGCGGGGCTGGGAATTGAACTCTGGCGTCTTGACTCCCAGGTCAGCAACACTAACTGCTTCTCCACTCTGCCTTTCTAGTGTCTCGTACACTGGTTTATGTCACTGAATGTGTTTACTCTTTGCTGATTGCAAGAGCCCTAAAGAGCAAGAGAGACGACAGCTTGGCAAGAAAGTCAGAAGTCAGCAATCCCCTGGGCTCTTGGCCAAGTTTCTATTCCAGGCAACTTCTCCCTCCCTCGCCTTGGTTGACGTAACCTGAGCCCCAGCCCCGCCCCAAGTAGGGGCCAGGCCCCGCCTACAGCCCTGGCGGTTTTAAAGCCACACTCGGTTCTCCCGGATTGGTTCCGCTTCAAAACAAAGGGGAGGGGTAATACTCGCTGCGGGCCCTCGCTGCAAGGCTGGTTTATGGGCTCGGGCCTCGTGTCGGGACCACCGCGGTATCTCGGGCTGCTAAAACCAGCCCGCGGAGAGTGCCAGCCTGGTAATAAACCAGTGACTACTGTGTAAAGGTGGCATAATCATCGTAAAAATAAAAGCCGTAATCAGGCTAACCACCATCCACCTCCGCCCTGGCGTTGGTCCTGACTCACCCAAACGGCACCCCGGCCGTCGAGGGAGAAACTGAGGCACGGGCGGAGCCAGTAGGCTGGAGGGACCAGTCGCCCTGAGTTCTGCAGCTCTCCAATCCAAAACCCGTTGTCTGGGATCGCGGTAAGGGGCTAAACCCAGAAGCGCCTACAAAGTTTGATTCTGATATAAGTCCCCCGCCTCTGATGACTGCCCCACCACCAGGCCCCAGGAAAAGACCCGCTCAGCGCTTGGAGACTGGGAACCAGACTACAGCTCCCTTAGGCCTTTGCGGGCAAAGGCGCGCTCCTTGCCTACGCCCCGAAGCCTCCCGCGGCTCCTTGCGCCGCGATGCCGCCTGGGAGTCGTAGGGCGGCGGCGAGCTCTTTCCAGGGAGCTCGCAGGCTTGAGGACTCTATATCCCTTGGTGCCCTGCGGCTGTTTCTGACGCGACCCGGTGGCCAGGGAAGGTGGGGGCGTGCCCTGCGCAGGGCCCCACCCAGCCCTCCTCTGGCTGGCTCGACTCGGCCGTGGCAGTAGGCGCGGCGGCGGCGGCAGCGGCAGCAGCGGCGGGGGGGGGGGGGGCGGGG